CCCCTTCATCACCTGTTGATTTGGGATCTATTACCTTGGGAAGAAAAGTATTCTGTGATGTCAGTTGTGGGACCATGTACACAGTGGGTGCTGATTAAATGTTCACTGAATCATTCAGTTAATAAAGTGAGCCCATGAGTTGACGTGTTAATTAGTTTTACTGTTCTCCTCAAGGAAGAAATGAAGTTACGCCTGGTGCCTTACCTCCACCTATAAGGAGTGAGCCCCTGCTTGACGGGCACCCACACCCCCTCCCTGAGCCTCTTGCTTTAGGACTGAGGGGCAGCGGAAGGCAGTGCACAGGGCCAGGGCACAGGTGGAATGACTGCTCAGGGCAGTGGGCGCTCCAGCCCGAGGTCACCCTGGACTGCAGGGCAGGAGAGATGAGCACAGAGCAGAGGAAGCTGGCAGAGATTTTCTAGGAAGCCTGGGAACCACTTCCACAGAGCATTTTGCATAAATTTACATGGCAAAGAATATTCTTTGCATGTTGTATTCCAGAGGCTCCTGATTCCAAGGTGACCAAAATGCCAGACATGACTCAGGATGCTGGAGTGTACCTGCCTTCTGGATCGTGGAGGGGAATGGGCAGGAAGGGGCTGCAAGGAGGGGTTAGCCTGAAGTTGGGTCCCTCTTCACCCCTCGGATGACCAACCATCCTGTTTGTCTGGGACTGAAGGGTATCTCAGGGGCAGGAATTTTAGGGCTGAAACCAGGGAAGTCCTGAGCATCACCACCCCATCCCAGAGAGCACCATGGCTGCCCTCTGGGCTGCCAGGCTGTCCCATTCTGTGTCATGGCATTGTAATGAGCATTGATTGAGCACCAGCTGTGTGCCCTGTGCATTCAGGAAATCTTCCTTCAGGAAGGCCAATTGAAGAGATAAAAAGAGGAGACAGTCCAGGAGGGTCCAGTTTCTGGTGTGAACAGTCAGTATTCTCCCCCACAGCATCTCTGCCCTGATGTGAATATCCATACGTACAGGCCAGTGACTCAGAGGAGGGGGTGACAGGCTTTTAGGCTGTTTGGGGAGACCAGAATCACCCCCATGGACTGTCAGACAGCAGCTGAGGTCTGGAAGGGGGCAAGGATTGGGTTTGGGGCTCAGCTTCCTGGCCCAGAGAAGTGAGGTCAGTGTGGGTGGGCAGTCAGAGAAGGTGTCCTGGAGGAGGTGGGGTAGCGAGGAGAGCATGAGGTGACTCTGCCATCACACAGGGCAGGGAAAGTGTTTGGGAATGTCTAGGCCAGCGAGTGGTGGGAGCTACACGTAGAGGATGGAAGGAAAAAGGGAGGAGGCCAGTGGCTGTGGGGTCAGCATGGTCCCAGCTGGGGTGAGGAGGCCTGTCCCAGGGCAGTGGCATTGGGGATGGGGGCTGTGATGTTTGGTGGGGTGGGGGTTGTGGCCAGTGTCAGAGGAAAGGACGTCAGGAGGAACCAGTTTGAAAAGGAGAGTTCATTGTTCCCATTAACTCTCGGAAGCCAGCAGGACTTAGGGAGAGATGCGCCCAGTAACCAGAAGCTGATGAACTTGGGACAGGATGGAGTAGGGGGTCCCTAGAGCTCCAGTGAAGCTGACAGGATAGGGGAAACTGGCCCGGGGAGAGTGGTCAGCTGGAAGAAGCGGTCCCAGCCCAGGGAGCAGCTGCAGGGTTGGTGCGGATGGAGAAGCTGTCCTGGATGTGAGGAGAGAGTCATGGAATGCTGGCATCTAGAGGAGTAGCTGTGATCTTTGAATCAGATCAGGTCCAGGCTCCCCCACATGATGGAGCTGTGCAAGACAGACACCTTGTGCTCTTGCCCAACCAGAGTTGGGTCTTCCTGGGAAAGCCAGGAACCTGACCTCCTAGGCCTGAGGCGTATGGCTGGGCCTGAGCCTAGAGTGTCTGCAGACCACCCCCAACCCCTCCTTACCCTGGCATCACCGGAAAGCTTGCAGCCAGGGCTCAGCCAGTCTCAACCACAGCAGGGCGTGGGCCCTGAGCTGCTGAAGGAAGGGCAGGGCCAGAGCCAGGTGCAGGCAGCAGGAGAACAAGGGAGAAAAGGGATCCTGCCCGCCCACCAGGAGCTGCCTGCGGAACCCAGAGACAAAGGACACTCGGCCAGTTTACTTTGGAACCTGAGTCTGCCTGGCTGCTGGGGAGCAGGGAACTTCATCTGGAATCTGGTTTCAGACACCACCAAGCCCCAAGGGTTTGGGTGCTCTGCTGGAGGCCAGCTGGGGCAAGACCCTTCTGAGGACCAAGGGCCCCATCAACAAGGCTTCTTTATTAATGTGTTGAATAATATGATCTAGCAGTGGGTCTAATGAGTATTGTAATTTTGAAGTAGCAATGAGCACTAATAATATTTGGGGACCCTGCAGCACCTGTGATGGGACAGGGTGCTGCTGACACTTCCGTTTTGCTGCCTACATTCCTAATTGAAGGAAATGCTAAATTTCAGTTAGAGTTAATGAGAATGAGATACAATTTCTCCCCCAATTCTTTCCCCATCCCTCCAGGAGTCCTGTTAGGAGCCCCTGAACGACATAGATGAGCAAAGCTCATCTATGGTCTTAGCAGTCAGGAGTGTGGTCACCCGTGGTAGTTAGTGACTGGAGGGGAACCCGGGTCTGAGGGACTGGGAACAATTTAGTTCTTGACCTGGGTGCTGGTTCCCAGGTGTGTTCAGTTTGTGGAAATTCATCTACCTGCACACTTAGGGTATGTGCACCAATCTGCATGAATTATTGATTTCAATACCGATTTTAAAAACACCTTTACTAGAACAGATGTATCTGTAGGTTCGAGCTTGCACACACACACATGCACGCTGGTATGTACCGGTGAGCCTCTGCAGGTCCATGAGCGTACACGTGTCTCCAGAACCCTTGCAGGCGTGTGGACGCAGATGGATACAGTGAGACAGAGAACACTATTTTTAGGAAATAATTCCAAGCAAAAGAGGAGGCTTCCTGACGTACGGGACTAGTGATTGCTCATGTGGAGAGGATTGCCCTGCAAGGGCTGCTGTCATCCAGGCTGGCTTTTTTTGTTTTTAAATGAAAAGAACAATGACTTTATTGTTTTTGTAAAAATAATACAAGAGCATCATAAATAATTCAAGCAATGAAGAAAAGTACAAAGAAGAAAGTTTAAAATTACCCAAATTTCCACCAGCTAAGGAAAAAAAATCACCATTCACATTTGGTGATGAGTGTTACAGACACCTATCTTTGTTCACTCAAAGATGGAAGGTAAACAGGGACATGCTTTCATAAAATGGGAACCTACTCTTTCACCTCTATTTTTAACAAAGGTATTCCTTGAACATTACTTGAATGAAACAGAAGAACAAAATGCTGAAGGGTGGGGCAGTTCCTAAAAGCCTGGGTCCTGGGACCTCTCTCCTCTAGCCTCCCTTGCACATTCCACGCTGTACCTCTCTGGGGACCAGAGGTGTCCTTTTGAGGCCTGGCTGTGTTGTGTTTGCTCACTGTTTACCTGTCACCTGGCCAGGTGCCTACTTCACAGCAAAAGTACTTGGGGCTGGGCCCTTTGTGGGCTGTGTGCAAGGGTCGGTGTGGCAGCAGCTCATTGAGGTCATTGGTGACATGTTTCACAGGAATAAAATCAAGGCAAAGCTGACCCTTGGTTGATGGAAAGAGATTCTGTCCTGGCAGAGATCTCCAACAGGTGCCCTCTTGAACTGGTGCCCAGCCATTCCCGGGTTTGATGTGGTAACTGGCGACATGGCCTCCCCTTCCCGGTGGTGTCCCCATCAGGCGCTGTACCCACCACATCCTGTTTTGGTGGGGCAGTCAGGAGCACATTCTTCAGCCTCCGTGTCATAGGCAGAGCGTGTTCACACCAGGTCCTAGATCATTTGAGGCCAGCGGGGGCCACATTCTCCCGGTTTGACGTCACACGCATGTGCTGGCTGGATGTCCTAGTGGATGAGTTTTCCGGTGCTACTATCACTTGGGATTGGCCCTCATTTGTTCAGATTCGAGAGAGGGGGGGTGAGTGGAGGTGTGAGGAGCCTGAGATGCTTTGTCCGCATTTCCGGTCTTGGGAAGGATGCCTCGCCCCAGAGATTTCTTTGAGATCCTTTCAGCAAGGCTCCACTGCAGCTGTGTACAGCCAGGTGCCAACATCTGGATGACAGCTCCAAAGTTGTTGCCCAGCTATTTCCAAAACTCCACAGGATTTGCCTGGGTCTCATTTGGCAGACACAGATGCCTCGTCAGTTGCCAGATGTTGGCACCTCCGTGCCCCATGTGAAGTCTAGGCACCCTCCCCGATGCAGGCGCATGCTGCTGAGGGGACCCTCACCACCCAGACTGCGGATCTGCTCAGAGAAGAAGCCCAGAGTTTGGCATTGGCCCAGGAGGTCTCTCGTCACCCTCCATAGGGCCCCAGAGTTTGCTATAGAGGGGACAAGCTTGAGAGGGGGACAGCACGAGGTACCTTCTAATGCCCTGCCCGTCGCCTGCATGTTCTTCATCATTCACTCCATCATTCATTTGTTCAGGACAAGCCCTCCCAGGGATCTGGGATAAAAAGATGACAGGCCCCATCCCTGCCCCACGGAGTGTCCCTCTCAGTCCAGAGTGTGTTGGCACCAGTTTCAAGACGTGTCTCAAGTGTCAGAGTGGTCTTGGTTAAGGAACCAACAGGTGCAGTGTTTCCTTTTGCTTTGAGGGCGTCAGAATGAAGGGGCTTTGATGACAGAGTCACTCCTGCCTACTTGAATTCAGACATGCTCGTTGGGATGGGAAAGAGAGAAGTGACCCTCCCACGGGTCCCCTTGTATACCCTGCAGTCCAGAGGCCTCTGGGTTTATGCAGGCCGCCATCGGCCAGGTGTGCCTCTGGAGAGGTCGGGAACCCGTGGTCCAGGAGCATCTTTGCAAACCTTGTCCTTCCTTCCACCAGCACAGCCCCTCCCCAGCAGGTCTGGCCACCCTGCCCTCTGGCCCAGGGGTAGCATCAGGCCTGGTGTCTGTGTCTTCTAGCTTCCCTACAGGCAGCGTGAGGACAGCCTGTGCCCCAGAAGCAGGATGAGAAGATGGCAGACTTCCTGTTACCTCGGGGCACCAGCAGCTTCCGAAGGTTCACCCGGGAGTCCTTGGCGGCCATCGAGAAGCGCATGGCAGAGAAGCAAGCCCGGGGCTCGGCCGCCTCACAGGAGAGCCATGAGGGGCTGCCCGAGGAGGAGGCTCCCCAGCCCCAGCTGGACCTGCAGGCCTCCAAAAAGCTGCCGGATCTCTATGGCAACCCACCCCGAGAGCTCATCGGGGAGCCCCTGGAGGACCTGGACCCCTTCTATAGCACCCAAAAGGTGACTGCCACCCACTCCCTGCCCACGCTTTCCTGTCAACACAGCAGACAGGGAGAGGGCTTTGCCTCCATATGGGGCTCTGTTTGGGGTGGGTTCCCCGGGCTTGGGGAAGTGAATCATTGGTGATCTATATTCCAATCACCTTGATTTTGGAGCTCCAGAATAAAAGGCCAGAACTGTGCAGCCTGAGAAGGTTTGGCGTGAGGAAAGAAAGAGAGGGCAGCCACGGTCGATCTCCTGCCTCCTTTGGAGTACCTACTTGGGGAATCCTCTGTGGTTAGGTTTCACCTCTGGGTGGTGTGGGTGAATTGGAGTCGGGCCCTGAGTCCTGTCCTGAGTGGAGTTTGGGCCCCAGAGCACAGCATGTGATCCCCTCTCCTAACCAGAGACAGTGTGTAGCCCCTGCCCGGGAGAACTTGCTGGGCATTGGCTGTGCCAGGCTGGCTCGGGCTGGGGCCACAGCGACAGCTCCCTGGGCCTTGCAGGCTGGTGATGGGAAATCTGAGACAGGTCAGGAGGGAGGTTGTTCTGCCATTGTCCCTCCTGAGTGTAGGGAGACGAAGCAGCTTTTGTCCACAAGGGCAGAGTGACTCAGGTTTCCTCCCAGCATGGATTTCTACCCAGGAGGTAATTCCCCCGTCTGGGTCTGCTGCCCTGGCCTCACCTTTCAGGACTGTGTGCCCGGCCCCACTCCCGGCCAGACCATAGGCACCCGGGACTCCTGTAGGGGCTTGGTCCTGTAGCTGCCCACATTTGGGCCTCACTGTTGGAGGAAGGGGTTTGAATTGGGAGGCGGCCTTTCCCCAGAAGACTGGGTACTAAGGAGGAGGGTGGCTGCTCACATTACTGCTGTCAGTACCGGGGCTGAGGACACACTGGAGGGCAGGCAGACTCGGTGTTCACAGGGCCGGTGTGAGCGTGTGGCGGGTGTGAGTGTTGTGGGACTGTGTCACCATGCCCCTGAGCATGTATGTGACTGTGCTTGAGACTGTGTTTAGGAGACCAAGAGTCTAAGGGTGGGCGTGGTGCACGATTGTCTCTGTGTGTGCGTGCATATATGTGGGTGAGTGGGTGAAGGGAACACGCACCCAGTCTATATGCACAGGTGGGAGAGGAGACCTTGAACCTGGTCCTGCTTCCCCCTGGTTCAGGTGACTCAGGTGGGGTTAAGGTCGGGGGCTGGGGCCACAGTTGGCATCAGAGTTAGGCTGGAAGTTGGAATTAGTCAGGGTGGGTGGGCCTAAGTCATGGTTGGCTGGAAGTAAGAATTAGAGTTGGGCCACAGCTGGTGGCAAGTCAAGGTTTCAGTGACAAGTCAAAGTGGCCATTAGACTGAAGTTAGCTGGGACAGGCAGGAGGCGTGGCAGGGGGTCCCGATTGAGGGTGGGGTCAGGGCTGGGCTGAGCTTTTGGGGGCTGGTGGCAGTTGAGCCTAGAAGGAGTCAGGGACAGTGGCATTCCCCGTGTCTGGGAATACATGAACCATGGCCCAGGTATGATTCTGGTCTCTAACCGTCTGTCTCTCCTTACTGACCCCTGACCACGCTGCCTGCAGACCCACAGGTGATGCAGGCACCACAGCAGAACCTTTGGTCCTGACGTATCTGGTCAGCTTGTCTCCCCAGTCCCAATTAAATAGAACCTTGTCTCCCCAGCCCAACCCTTGGAGAAGCAAGACCCCAGAGCCATGCCACCTCAGCTGTTCCCACCATAACCTGGGCAGGCAGAGATGGACTGCTGTCCTCAGGGGTTGCGTCTGGCCCAAACGTGGCCCACTTGATGGGCATGTGGCTCAGCCTCCAGCACTCATTGTCCACTCCCGTGCCCCCTTGTGCTGTGTAGACAGTGTCTTCTGGAAGCTTGGGGAGGGGGTCTACCTTGGGCTACTCATGATCCCTCCAGGGCAAGACACTACGTTGTCTCCTCTCGGGTGGTATGGGCCTGACATCTGTCCTGGATTCCAGGAGACAAGGTCCCAGGGAAAGCTCCTGGGCTGGGGTCTACGTTTTCCTCAACCCTACTCTTCACCCATTAGTCTTCCCTGCTGACCCAGCTCCCTCATCAGACCCTCACTCCCCAGTGGGCCCGGTGAGGAAGCTACGCAGGGTGGGGAGGGGTCAAAGGGGAGAAGGGGAAGGAGGCGGTATCAGCCAGGTCCTGGCCTCTGCTGTGACAATCATGAAATGCCGCTTCTTGTTGGGACCATAATTTTGAAACTAAACTAAGTCCCACCCAACCTGACATTCCCCTAAACTTGACCTCATCCCACCCTAGCCATGGGCCACCCAGCGAGGGTCCACTGACCTGCTGAATGTGCTGGCTGCTCCCTCTTCCCCCTACCCCTGCCTCAGTCCCTCACTTCCTCCCACCCCACCCCTTAGCCAAGGTTCTAGAGCTCTGAGCCAGCAGCTGCCTCCCAAAAGCTTCTCTCCATCACGGCCCTGGAGCTGCCACCCCGACCTAAAGCAGCTCTCTGTCCACAGACCTTCATCGTGCTGAATAAAGGCAAGACCATCTTCCGGTTCAGTGCCACCAACGCCTTGTATATCCTCAGTCCCTTCCACCCCGTCCGGAGAGCGGCTGTGAAGATTCTGGTCCATTCATATCCTTTGCAGTTGGTCCCTGCTGTGTGTACCCTCTGGCCCCACACAGTGGGTGGGAGTGAGGGAGATGGACAGGATGTTTAGGGCTAGGGGTTGTGCTAATTCCTGGCCAGTCCTCCCACAAGCAGCACAGTCATCACCTGGGAGCTGGTTAGAAATGCAGACTCTCAGACCCCACCCCAGACCTGCCGGACCAGCATCTGCATTTTAACAAGATCCCAGGGGATTCTTGGGCACATAAAAGTTAGAGAAACTCTGCTCTGATTCTTCAGGAGAGAAAGTTCTAGAAGCTAAGCTACTGAGAACTCCAGAAGAAATGAGGCCTATCAGTGTCCCCTGGGTCTGATATTGGCTCCAGATGTTCCCTCCCATTGCACCCCCTGGGCCCTGCACCTCCCCGCCCACTTGCGGGGACCTCAAGCAGATCACGGGGGCTCAGCCAAAGAAACCACTTCCCGGTAAAGAGGCCTGCAGTTTATTCACACGTGGGCATCTTTTGCGAGAGGAAACACTTGCTTTTTGATTGGGTGTTGACAAAATGTTTGCAGTTTCAGAGTATCTCAAAGAACTTTGGTTAGCATTAAATTATATAAACCGCAGCCTGAAAAAGCTGCAGGCTGCGGAGGAGAGCTCTTGGGGTGCAGCAGTGTAATAAGGGACATTCCTGGTCTTTGGGCCTTAGGGGGCGTCATTCAGGTCATGCGTGGGACGGGGTGCCAGCACCCAATCATGGCTGTTCTCCCAACTTCAGAAAAGGGGCCCCACAGACGGAACCTCTCAAGGCGGGCGGGTGTCCAGCTGTAGGGTGAGGCATCTGCGTGTTACTGTGATGGCCTGGGCAGCCCTTCCTTTGGCTGGCAGCTGGGTCTGCTGTTAATCAAATCAGTGCTGCCGGGCTCAGCGGTGTGGTTAGTTGTGTGTGTGGCTGGCTGGCCCGATAGAGCTCCCCAAAGTCGCCCCTCAATTCCCCAGTCTGAGGCCAAGGCAAAGACCTCACCCATCAGCCTCTGGGCGGGGCAGAAGGCTTCAGGAAAACAGCTGCCCAGCGAGGGACGGAGTAATGGACACCAGTGCTGATTCTCAGGAATTTTTCTGTCCAGGCAGGGATGAGGGATGCTCCTTCCTGGCTCCACTTTCTCCCCCACTGGGCCCCAGTGCCTGATCCTCGCCCCAGGGGTTAATTGGAGGAGCTCCGTGCCACACGTGTTCTCTGCATGCAGAGGCTCTCTCCCATCCTCCAGCTCGCTGCTGCTTTTCATGGGAGTTCCTGAGACACATGTATGTCCAGGGAGAACCCCACACACAGGCCATGGCTGTGGCATCAACAGAGTGGTCTCTAGGGTGGGCAGACACCGTGGCGAGGGGCTCTATTCAGGGGGCAGCCTGCCATTCACAGCTACATCTTACTTTGTGAAGCAAGAGTGGCTCTGGATTTCATTTTGAGCCATTCCGCCACTGTTTCCAAGCTCCCTGTAGGGGCCAGGCACTTTACCAGGCACCTTAGGGGTATCATGCTGAGTAAGACCCTGTCCTTGTCCCCTTGGGAATTTTACAGTTCCCTAAAAGTGATAAGACAGCCACATGAATAGTTGTCCTTCCTGCCAGCATGTGGGCACAGCTACTGGTGAGAACAGCACAGCGGGAGAAGAGGCCAGCCTCCTTTCTTGCTCTGAGCCTGTCTCCAGCCTCACTGCAAGGGCGTGGCCTCCCTGAAAGCATGCTCCAGCTCCCACCTGGGGCTTCTCCTCTATGTATCTAACCAACCCAGAACTGTTTGGCAGCCACAGCAGCCCCCAGGGATGCAGCAGAAGCCCCAGGGTTCCTGCAAGGCCCTGGGCTGGGCCGTGGGGCAGATGAGGCCATGGAGGCAGGTGGGCGAGGGAGGTGGTGGGGGCACTGGAGTCACCAACCTGGCCAGAGGGTCCATTAAGTAGTGGCTCTGAAGCTGTGAGGTGCTGGTTCCACCCATAGTCCCTGAGGACTCTGAGCCAGCCTGTGTCCCCCAGGGCAGCTGCCCCAGGGAAGTAGCTCTGCATCCGTGAGGCCCTGTGCTGGGCTTCTAGCGGCTGCCTTGACACTCCATTGCCTGGGGATGGGAGCACACTGCCGGTCCTCAACAGCGCCCCTTAGTGGGCTCAGGGGGCACTGAGGAAGAGGAAAGGCCTAGATCTGTGGGGTTTGGGAACAACCCCTCTATGCCCCTGAACCTGCCATTCAAAGTGTGGTGCACGGACCAGCAGCATCAGCATCACGGGGATCTTGTAGGAATTGCCGAATCTCGGGCCTCACCCCGGGACTTGGCTTTAGCAAGGTCCCCATGATTCGTGCACACAGTGTCCTGGGGCAGTTGTTTCCAAGTGTCCTCTGTGAGGGCCACCTCAGTCTCACCTGGGAGGTTTGTTAAAAATGCAGATTCCTAACCCTTTCCAAACCAGAATCATCAGTGTAGAATCTGCAGGCTCTCCATGCATTTCCTTTTTTTTTAATTGAGATATAATTCACATATCATAAAATTTACCATTTTTAAAGTATACAATTCAGTGGACTTTAGTATATTTATATAGTTGCACGAACATCACTGCTATCTAATTCCAGAACATTTTCACTACCCCAAAAAGAAATCCTGTGCGCATTAACAGTCACCATGCATTTCTAACACACAGATTTCATGTTGTGAATTGTGAACTTTCACTCTGCTTACATCTTTTTTATTGTGGTAAAAACCACATAACATAAAATTTGCCATCTTAACCATTTTTAGGTATATAGTACAATGGCGTTAACCACATGCTCATTGTACAACAGATCTCTAGAACTTTTTCATCTTGCAAAACCGAAACTTTATAACCGTTGTAGGCTTACATTTTTATATCCAGTCAAACATCTCAGTCCCCACATGTGCACAGTTCTGTGCCAGGCCCTTTGGAAGGGGCCGGAGGGGCAAAGACAAACTTGAAAGGGGGCAGGTGTGCAGCCCCTGCTCTCAAGAAATCTGCCACCAACAGAAAGAAAACCTGCTCACTTGCCACAATTTAGGCGTTCACAGTGACACGCCAGCGAGTGCATGATAATTCAGTTGGCTTTGCTCTGTGCTCCATGCTTGCAATGCATCCCTGGGAAGTTGCCTAAAAAGTAAACATGGGCATGCAGAATTATTTTTTCCTATGTATTTTTGTTATAATCCTGCAGAACGTGTTCCTGCCAGGATTAAATAAAAGAAACCAACAGAACTCCGAATTCCACTGCAGTCACATTCAGAGAGGCCTCACGTTCATGCCGAGAAGTATTTTGCCTTCCTGGGTGCACAGGATCTGTTCACAAAATCCTCCCACGTTTCTCTAACAGATTCAAATGGGCAATCAAACCACATGTTGGTGTCTGTGTGTGTGCGTGTGCATGTTCATTTAATAGCACAAGTATATGAAAGTACCCCCCACAGTTAATTCCTTTCTTTTTGGGAGTTTTTTGACTCCTTGGGGTCTGAAGACAGGCAGCCCAAGTTTCAGGCAAACCCAAGTTTCAGGCAAACCCCACAACCCGGGCAGGCAGTCTTTGCTGGCATTTTAGTCATGAGGCTGGGAGTGGGTGTTTGGGGACAATGACATGACAGGATTGAAGATGTTCAGCTGAGCTCAGGCCTGAAGAGCTGGCCTTTGCCTCTGCCCACACATGGGACCAGCTCAGTCATCAGGCTGAAACTACCAGGCAGGGCAAATAGGTGTGCCCTGGCCAGGAGTGCACGTGACTCATCTCTGGTGTTCACTGCCTGCTTGGCTCCATGGGGCACCTGGGGATGCTGTGGGAAGAGTCACATGGACTAGAGGTTCAGTCTAGGTTGGAAGAGGTCACACACGTGCACATACATGGGCACACACACACACTCAGGAGTGACTGAGGATAGTGGAAGGGCCATCCTCGAGGCCAGGAGAGCCAGGCAGCGCTTTGGACAGTCAAGTGGCAGAGACTAGAGTCTGCTGCACCTCACCCTAAGCCATCACTATGTCTGGAAAAGCCAAAACCCAGACAGGCAGCCCCTGCCATTTCCCACCATGTGACCCAGGCCCTATCTGGCAGGACTCAGAAGGGCTGTCTACTGTGGCTCTTCCCTAAGTCTTTACATTAGAGTTCAGCTCACCTCGTCTGTGTCCAGCCAAGTCCTCTGGTCCCAGGCAGCCTATCTACGCTGCTGCTCTCTGCTGAGGGGCCTTTCCTCTGCTCTAGTGAGAGCTGTGAGCAGTCCGCCCACAGCCTGGAGAGGGTTGGCTCCACAGGGAGGGGATCTCCCCAGTCCTCAGCCCAGTCTGCTTCGCCATGACCAGCTGGGCCGACTGATTGCTGGAGGAACCCCAACCAGCCTTCAGTGCCTGTCTAAATGCCTCCTCCAGGAAGCCTTCCTGCCCAGCCCAGCCGGAGGTGGGTCTGGTTTCTCATAACATCCCATCTGGGAGCAGTTCGGTGGTTTGGATGCCTCCCTCTCTCCCGCATAGGACCAGGTACACCTGGTCAAGTGAGGTTTGTTCTTCAAAATGACAAATAATTCCATTCCTCCTCTTGGGTGGCAGTCTGCTCACACTTACGGAGCCCTTCACTCATTTGGTTTTCATACCGCCCCGTGGGTGGCAGAGTCCAGGTGTGAGATAGCAGTCCCACTTGGCAGGTGAGGGCCTGACGCAGTGTGACTCACGCAGGCCCTTCAGTCTGGAGGCAGGGGAATGGAACAGTGACCTTTGTTGTCATCGTGCAGGGACGGTGCCACAGCAGGGCTCACAGTGGAGGCCTGCACTGGGGCAGCCGGGGCTCAGATCTGGGCTCTGCCATGGACAGCTTTGTACCTAGAGTGGTTTTCTCTGGCTGCTGTAACAAATTAGTGGCTCAAAACAGCACGAATTTATCATCTTACAGTTCCGGAGGTCAGAAATCCAAAAAGTTCTCACTGGCCTAAAATCAAGGTATCGGCAGGCCTGCATTCCTGTTTGGAGGCTCTAGGGAAGAATCTGTTTTCTAGGCTTTTCCAGTTTCTAGAGGCTACGTGGCTTACCGTCCGCTTCCATCTTCAAAGCCAGCAACAGCTGGCGGAGTCTTCTCACATGCATCATGCTGACGCTGCCTCTCGTGCCGCCCTCTTTCACTTGTAAGGACCCTGTGATGACATTGGGCCCACCCAGATAATCCAGGATAATCTCCACATCTCAAGATCCTTAATTTAATCACATCTGCAAAGTCCCTTTTGCATATAAATTAGCATTCGCAGTTTCCAGGAATTAGGATGTGGTCATCTTTAGGGGACCGTTATTCTACTTAATATAGTATCCTTTAACTTAACCTCATTGTGCCTACATCTCCTTGTCTATAAAATGGAGACAGAGTCCCCGCCTCACAGGTTGTTGGGAGAATTGAATTCGTTAATGGATACAGAGAGCAGAGCCTCGCACCTGGGGAGGGCTCAATAAATATTTGCTCTTAGCATCATTACTTTCATATTTCAGGAATCATCTGGGATCCTCAGTAGACGGTTTAGCAATGGATCTGTGGGGATGAATAAAGGCTGGTTGAGGGGTTCGTTAACTGTCTGCCCAGTGAGGAAAGCTTTGGCACAGAGCCCGGGTGTGGAGAACGTGTGTGTGTGGGGGGGGGGGGATACTGAGATGGGTATCTGATCCTGCCCTTGAAAGCTAGAGAGGGAGAAAGACCTGCTATGGAGACCAGCAGAGGGATGGGCAGATGCCAAGCTGAGGGAGGGACCCCAGTGCCTCTGAGCTGAGCAGCTCCTGTTTGACTAAGGGGGACTCCCAAAGCCCAATCCTCCCTCATCTCAGATGTGAAATCGGAGAATTCATTATAAACTGGGAGCTGGGTTTGACCTGCTGTTGCCTGATTGCCTAGAAGGAGGACTGGAGGTGTGGAGGGCATCCACCTGGATTCCTTGAGAGGCCTCGCCTCTCTCCCAAGCTGGGACAGCTGCCCACCCCCGCCCAGAAGTCAACACCTAGCTCAGCCCAATCTCCAAACTGACTGCCTTGGCCTCCCCATCAGGCCTGAGGTTGGGCCAGGCCATGGAAGAGGGTGGAGCTCTGGTAGGGAGGAAAGAGGCAGGCCCCTGGAGCTCAATTACTGCTGCTCCTGGGCAGCCTGGGGGAGTCGCAGGGCTGGCAGCTGCTCAATGTGGGGCTGAGGCTGGGATAGCCACAGGGCGTGGGAGACCCAGCCTCTCCTCTCGGGCTGGGGAGGGGATTTGTGAGAGCAGCAGAGTGTCCCTATTCCAGGCCAGGCCCCTTGCATGGGGGTTCCCAGCCCACAGGAGACCCAGGGTCTGTTGCTTGCTCCTCTGCAGGTCTTGCAGAGGTGAGGGAGGCCATGGAGGTCAGAGCTCTATCCAGCCTAAAGCAGCAGCAGCTAGGACTTGTAGCCAGAGTCAGGGATCAGACAAGGCCTGGGGCAGTTGAGTTCAAGGTCAGAGGCCCAGACAGATGCCCAAGACATAGTCCCAGCATTTGAAGAGCTCCCCTGCTGGTGAGGGACAGATAGACATTGCCATTCAGTGAGCAACCTTGCAGTAAAAGGGGGATGCCCAATGCCCTGGGGTTGCAGAGGCTGCAGCAACCAAGGAGTGAGGGCAGGCTCCTCAGAGGGCTGCTCCTGCTCCAGGGTGCTCCTGCTGAGGGGTTTCTTGGAGGAGGAGGAGTGTACTAGTTGGAGCAGAGGACAAGAGTGAAGAGCATGTGCAAAGTCAGGAAGCAGCCAGAGAAGCAGTATCCTCCCCCAGGGGCAGTGTGTCCTGACAAGATATATAGTTCTGGCAACAGAACAGCTCTTCAGAGGAGTCCTAGGCCAAAGGTCAGCCTGAGCTGCTCCCATAGAAGTGGGGAGGGGACCCGGAGCCCTGCACCATGGCCTTCCTGTCCAGCAGTGGCCCCTGAGGAACAGTTTATAAATGCCATCTCCCTCCAGTGTGGCTGAAGACAGCACTGCCACATGGCCGTGGGTACAAACCTCTGAGGTCTGGGGGTCAGCCTTTCCTCCCTTCCCTCCAGGATGGACCCTACAGAGAACCCTGCTAAAGGTGTGGATTCAAGTATCTGGTCCCTGCCAGGGGCTGTGGAGCAGGGTAGTTGTCCAGCTGCAAGTGCCAGGGGCCGGACAGAGGCCAGCCTCAGTGGGGAGCGGTTGGCAAGGACTGGGCACAGCCCCGGTGTGCCTCCTTGGAGCCCCTGTTGCTTTGATCTGGCAGCACTGACCTGGCAGTGATGACCCCAGGGCCAGGCGCCACCGGCGGTGGTGGCCCCCGGGCCCCCTGCACGCACGCGGCTTTCCTTGACCCTCGCCACGCTCTTTAGCATGCTCATCATGTGCACCATCCTGACCAACTGTGTCTTCATGGCCCAGCATGACCCTCCACCCTGGACCAAGTATGTCGAGTGAGTATCTTCAAGGCCTCTCCAGCTGGCCCCTCCCACTCTTCCTGTTCCATTCCACACTGTGGCCCCTAAAGTCACGCCAGAAGAGGCCCAGGGACTAACCCACCTGGGGGTCCTTGGCCCAGCCCCTATCCTCTTTTGCCACTCCCGGGCTTGCCAACTTCTGGCTTTGAGTTGTGCCCTCAGGGGAGGAGGCTCTCCAGGTTGGCAAAGTGGGAGCATCTGCCTGTCTCATCCTAAAGAGGATTGATGACATGGGAGAAGGCTCTGAAATAATAATAATTTACTGAGCCCTCAGTGCATGCCAGCGCTGTCATAGAACAATAAGCATCATGTCCTTTAACCCTCACGGCAGCCCCCCAGGGAAGGCACAGCCACTATCCCTGTGTGACAGCTGAGGAGACTGAGAACTGGAGAAGTTACTTGCCCAATGCTATGCAGCTAGAAGGTGTGGTCACCAGGAAAGGCCCGGGGCCCTCCCTGCTTCAGTACCATACTCTGCTGCCTTTTTTCCCCAAGTCCTGCCACCTTTAGCCGTTTGTACAGTTTTAGAGAACTGTTTCTGGTCCTTTCTTCCCAAATGAAAGTACCCTACCCACAGGTTCTAAGCAGACCTGATAGGCCTTTGGTGCATTTGGCTCCTGTCTTCAGGGGACCGACAGAGTGTTAGGGACAGCCTCTCTTACCAAATCGGCCTGTCTTGTGACTCTCCAAGTTTGCACAGGACCCACCAGTACTGTAGGTGCCTGGGCCTACAGCCAGCGGCTGAGACCTGGGAAGCAGTGTGGGTGTGGCCCTCTCGCATTCCAGCTCTCTGGGCCGCGGTCCCGGCATCCAGGCATTTGGGATTCTTCAGCTCACCCTGGGCAGAGAGAAGAGCTCCCCACCCAGCCTCCAGTGTTAGAACCTCAGCCCCCTTCCCAAGCCCAAGGTAGACAGCTGTGCCCACACCTAGCTGTAGGTGGTTGAGGATGGACCATGCTCCCATCATTAGCCACCTGAGGACCACAAACAAGGGTGAGGGGCCGTGACTCTGAGTGTCCTTACTGTCCTGCAGTGGCCACCATATGCCTGTGTACATGGACCCGCAGGGCTGTGTGAGGAGATAGATGGAGGGTCTTCTTACACCAAGACAACCGAGAGAGAGAAGATGGAGGGTTCAAATGGGCTCAGGACAGGCAGTCAACAAGGCTGAATGAACAAGTGGGAAGATGCGTTAGTTAGCCTGATAAGTGGAAAAAGCTCCAGCCCCCAGCTCCAGCTCTGCCATGGAAGCGTTGCAGAAAGCCTGCTCTGAGGGGCCCTTGGGAGAGGAGCTGCACGGGGCTCATGCCATGTGGGGAACTTGGCCCGCGGGCTTTGGCCTCCCTGAGAAGCCCCGCCGGTCTCTCCTCCCCAGGTACATCTTCACTGCCATTTACACCTTTGAGTCTCTGGTCAAGATTCTGGCTCGAGGCTTCTGCCTGCACGCGTTCACCTTTCTTCGGGACCCGTGGAACTGGCTGGACTTCAGCGTGATTATCATGGCGTAAGTACTTTGCTCGCTGCGCCGTGCTGTGCCACTCCAGGCCACACTGAGGGGCGTGTGCGCCACTCCCGGCCCTGGGCTGCCCAGCCGTCTCAGCCTCCCTGCTGCAGTCCATGTGCAGCTCTGCCCCGGGCTATAGAGCAGCCCACCTGACTGCTGTGGCAGGAGGAGGATGGGATGGAGGCCCTCAGCTCATCCTGTGGGGAGAGACGGGTCCAGTGGCTCATGCAGGCTCCAGTGGTCAGGTCCACTGGCTCATCTGGCTCCACGGCAGCCCTGTGCTCAAGAGACGTCATTAAGATTCTGGTTTAGCATCCTCTGCCCTTTCCAGCAAGGGAAACCAATATTATGGCCTGAAATCTCTGGACTACCGTGAACAGTAACTGGATTCCAAGGTGATTAAGGATGAAACTGCAGGGAAGAGAAGGAGCCTGGAGAAGTGAGCGGGCATCCCCAGGAACTCATGCTGGGTACACCAGCATGTCTGCTCTCTCTACTCGTAGACTCCACGTTTGGCACATTTTAAGGCACCTGGTCACTGACGTGGTCCCTTTGGTCCTCACACCAGCCAGAGAGGTAGGCTGGATGGAGATTCCTCATCCCCATTTTACAAATGAGGAAACTGTTGCCAAGAACATACAATGAGCCCATCAGAAAGTGAACGTGATCCCAGGACCCGCTCCCTTGCCTAGGAGGAGTCTCTCGCTGAGCGGTTGGGTTGAGGCATTCCACTCTGGCTGTCTCAGGCAGCGGGTGCTGTGTTCTGGTGGGAACGACTGATCAGGGAGAGCCTCCTGGGCAGCAGTCGTGGTCAGGGCTCAGCCATCATACCCTTTCGGGAAGCCTGAGGTGTGTGGAGGGCTGGGCACCACACCTTAGCGAGGAGCAGAGATGGTGAGGGTTATAATTCCTGCCCTTGCAGAGCCTCAGTTTCTCCACTTGTGAAAGGATGGTACTGGGCCAGGTGGAATAAGAGGTTCAGTTCAGCTCCCACTTTCTAGGATTCTCAGATTCACTGAATCCACCCGTTCATGACAAAGTCTTTATTTAACCCCAGATACAAGCTGCCCTGCTGTGAGCTCAGCCATGCTGTGAGGGAGCGAGGAGAAGGAGGGAAGCTGGGCCCTGCTAATGGGATGCCTTCAAGCTAGATGGTGAACCTGGTGGTTAGAAAATGCATCAGAACCTCTGTTCCTAGGTACCCTGTGAGCTGACTCCAGCCCACCATTTTACAGGTGGGGAAACTGAGGCTCAGAGAGAGGCTACCACTTGCCCCAAATCCAGTGTAGATTTAGGCCCGAGCTGAGTGAGCAAGAGAAAGAGGAGTGGGAGATGAGGAGGCAGAGTGGCGGGGTGGGGGGCAGCTGTGTGGCCTTATAGGCCGAGGTAAGAGCCAGGTGTGATGGGAGCCAGTGGGGGTTAAGAGCAGGGAGTGACGTGATCTGATTTACATTCTATGAAGATCTCCTGGGCTACTGTGTGGACAAAAGACTGTAGAAGGATAGCGGTGGAAGCAGACGGAACAGTTACGAGGCTAGTTGAGTAGTCAGGAGGGAGGGGATGGTGGCTGGGACCAGGGTCCAAGTGGAGAAGGTGAGAGATGTGGTCAGATTCTGGATATATTTTGAAGGTGGGGCAGACAGAGACCCCCAGGCGGTTTTTGGTTTGAGCAGCTGAGTGGGTGGTGTTACCATTTGTTGAAATGGAGAAAGGGAGGAGCTGGCTGAGGGAGAAAGAGAATCAGAAGTCCAGTTTGGAATGTATTAAATTTGAAAGCATGCAGGGTGAGAGATTGAGTAGGCAACTGGATATTCCAGTCTGGAGTTCAGGAAAGAGGTCCAAGGTGGAAATATAAATTTAGAAGCCCTCAGGATACAGATGGCATCATCTAGGAGTAAGTGTAGCCAGAGAAGGGAAGCCACCTACGGACTGCACCTGGGATGCTCCAACGTCTCGAGGTCAGGAAAGGAGGAGGATGGAGGGAAGGAAACTGGAGGGAATTGCCAGGGAGGGTGGAGGGAAACCAGGAGAGAGCAGTGTGATTCAACTTGAAAGATAACACGAGGAGACCGAGGAAGGTGAGAACCCAACCGACCTTTGGAGTGGACAATGTGAAGATCATTGATGACCTTGACAAGACAGGCCCTAGTGGGGTGAGGGGACATACCTGATAAGAGAGGGCTCAAGAGAGTGGGAGGAGGTAAGGTGGAGCAAGTATAGATATCTGGAGGTATCTTTGTGGGCTGATGGAAAGGATCCAGTAGAGAGGGAAAGTCTGATGATGGTGGCGGGGGAGTTACAGAGCGAAACCCTTGAACTGGCCCAAGGGGTGGGAATCCAGGGCCTGGGGGAACATTGGCCTTAAGAGCAGGGAAGGCAGAATTTCAGGTGGCGATGGATAGAGTCAATGATGAGAGAAGAAGGAATTTCTCTTCTGATTGCTTCTGTTTTCTCAGTGATAAGAAGCAGGGTCCTCAGCTGAGAACACAGAGTGGGGAGGCACGTCTGAGGTTTGAGGAGAGAGGGATCACTCTCCATGTTGGAGCCAGGATATTGCATTGACTTGGAAATGGAGTAGGATTGCTGGCCAGGGCCAGGCTCTGCGGTGCCCTCCGGGAGGGGGGCAGTGATCCCTGGGCCCCTGAGGGATTGGTGTCACAGGAAAGGAGCTTACACAGGAGAGGACACAGCGTCTGCATGAGCCTTTCCCACCTTCCCATCTTGGAGCCTGAGCAGGACTGTGTCACAGCAACGACACTCCCAGACCCCAGGAAAGGCGTTGCCCTGGGCCCCTTGTCTGACAGCAAGAGCCAAGCCTTGGCCTGATTTCAGCTCATGTCTCTGGGAGATGCTCTGCATGACCTCAGGCCCTTAGCAAGTCCCCCTGTCCTGTCTTGTGAAAGAATCCCAGTCTCAATCCCCATGAGATCCCACGGGGACCCACTCCTTCTGCTCGGAATCACAGAGTAGGTGTGCCTTCCTCACCAAGGCCTGCCTGCCTTCGCTCTGAACCAGAACCAGGGGTGACAAAGCAGAACAGGGCCTCAGAGGTCATCAGACTGTTTCCACATTTCTGAGCATCTCACAGAAATGTCACACTCAGCTCCCCTGGGGCCGCATGCACCCATTGGAATGTTAGGTTTGTGCTGTGGGCTGGACTGGCCCGGCAGCTCTGATTGACAGTGATTCCACCGTATGCAAACAATGAGTTACTGCCATGGTAATGCAGTGAAATGCAGTCTGCTACAGCCAAAATGGTTCAATAACGTGGGGCTCCTAGGATAATCCAAGGAGCCTTGAGTGGCAGAAAAGTTCTATTCAATGAAATTCCCCATCCTGCCCTTGGTTTTACAGATGGAGAAACTGAGGCTCAGAGAGATCCTACCACTTGCCCAAAATTATAGAATGAATTAGCAGCAACGCTGGGACTAAAACCAAGTCTCCTAACTCATAATGAGGAGAGGCACCCCAAGTCTGATGTTTCTGATTCCCCACCCCCAATTTAGGGGTTGTGGAAGGGTCTAAGGGAGGGGCGTGCCAGGAAGCCTGCCAGGCAACCCTCCAGCTGGAGCTTCCTAGGGCCCCTCTTAGCTGGGCATTACCTGCTAGTTAGCGCAGCCTCCCACCTTCTGGGGTTGTTATGGAAACCAAACCTGGAGGGGAAGGGAGGGAGGGCAGAGAGGAGAGGGTGGCAATCAGCGCAGTAGCTGTGGTGCTGGCTATACCCTCTGCCTAGCAGCCCCGTGAGGGGCCATCTACATCAAATGGGAGGGCTGCGCAGCAAGATAGGGGTGGAGCAGGAAGAAGGCCAGGGTCTGCCCTTCCTCATGGTTCCTCAGCCTCCAAAAAGGCTCCCCGCTGTGCTGGGGCTGGCGTGATGGAGGGGATTCTCACCCACCAACCGCTGCTCTTCCTGTGTGGGGGCCCACATTCCCGCCCCTCCCCCCAGCTATCTGCCCCTGCCCAGCAGCTTGGCCACAACAGGAAGAGAAGAATGGCTTGGAGGAGAGTTGTGCCAGCCTGCTAGGGGCAGAGCCCCACCCCCACCTCTGCCACTGCTGAAGCTGGCCCTTTGCCTGCCTTGCCACACTCCAGGGCCCCAGGGGAGGCCTCGGGGGGGTCTAGGGCCCCAATATGGGAAGCAGCCAGGCACCAGGCTCTGGATTGAGTAAGAGGCAGCAGCCCCATTGTCACAGACACAGTCACAGACACACCGTGCCCTCACCCAGCCCTGCACCCCACCTTCAAGACTCCCTCCCCCTGAGGATTGCTCTCCCACACGTGTCCTGACTTCATGGACACACGACCACCAGCCCCACTCCTGTTCTCAGCCACTCAGCTGGCTTTGCAAACCTGACGGGAGCACACCCCTTGGGATTTTGGCTTCTCTGTGCCGAGCACCAGCTGCTGAGGAGGCAGACGATGAATGGAGGGCAAGCACTGTCTGTGCTGGGGACACTGCAAGGGCGGGGTGGGGCAGGTTCTACAATGGGACAGGCAGACGCAGGCAAAATCCAAGCCAGAGACAAGTCTTCACTGGAGACGCCGGGAGACACACAGGGTCTGTAAGGGACGGAGGGGAGAAGCAAGGACAGTTGGTTCCCTCTCTGATCTGCAGAGTGCTCCACTCACACCCTGTAACCAGAAGAGACAGTCTTGAAACCAGTGTCCTGAGCAAGAAAAGCTGTTGTCCCAGGCCACACCTACTAGACCAGCAGCAGGAAATGGGGCCCAGAGCCACCAGCAGGCTGGAATCATGGCTTTCATGTGATGGCAACATTGGCAATGTTCCTGAGAATCCTGTGGCACCATCTTTTCTGGACAGAGAGTCCAAGCCTGAGAGAAGAACGTGGGACAGAGGCCTGAGGGTCTGAGCCATCACAGAGATTGGAGTAGCCATCAAAAGTTGAGAGGGAGCTTGGACCAAATTAATAGGTGTATGTGGGACAGAACAAGGGAGCTGACTTCTGCTCCCCACTGGAAGATGGGGCTGCATCTGATTGCTGCACCAGAGAAAAATCTGCAAGCTGAAGTGAATCTGGGGGATGGAATGGAAACCACACCACAGAAAGGATCTGGGGTAGCCAGAAGGAAAGCTCTGAGAATGTGTCTGCTGACTTCCCATCTCTGAAGGGATGTGGTGAGTAAGGAGGGAGCAGGCATGGTCCACAGGGCCCCGTGAAGATGGAAAGGCCCCATGAGTGGACGTAGAGGAAGCTGGCGTCAGCCCGAGCTGGACCAGGCTGGACCCAGGAGTTGAGCCCCTTGACACAGCCTGTCAGGTCCTTGCCTATAGACACCCACAGCTTGAAGGCAGATTCAGAAGCTCTGAGCAGAGTGGCGGGGCCTGGAGGTGCAGATGATCACAGAGTGAGTGCAGCTACGCTCTCAGCCCACCCTTGGCGCTCAGCTGATGTCGCTGGGCTGATGTCCTAGGTCTGATGTCACTCAGACACCGGGTCAGACACACTTGGTTAAACATCAGACACCTTCAGTTAAATGTCAGACACCCTGGATGCGGAGCCTTTGGTTAAATATCACAAGTCATTGCCACTGTCCCAATGATCCTGGTCACACACTGTCCAGCCACCTCTCAGACATCCTGGTCATATGGCCCATCCATATGTGTCCTCACGCTCTGCTCAGGCAGGTCCCTGACCCCCAGAGACCAACTCCTTCTTCTTGTGCCTGTGGAGGCCGTGGATGGACAGCTGTCCCCAAGTTCTATGTGGGGACCCCGTGGCCACTCAGCCCTGCTAAGCGCTATTCAGACCCAAGCAGGACAGACCCCAAGGAGGGCTGCTCATCTCCAGAGCTCACTCCTCCTGTGGAGACCCAAGGCCTTCCTTGGGGGACATGGAAGGTCTTGGGGTGGACTCATGGGGTAGGGGCCAGCCTCTCCCTAGAAACCGCTCATCCAGCTCTTTTCTCTTCCTCTGTTGGCCATTGCCAGTCAAAGAGCTGAGTATTCAGGCAGCCTCCCTTCCCATCTTTCGAAGCGTCGCCCAGGGAACTGTGCTTCTCCTGTGGAGTACTCAGGTTGCCTCCACCTCGTGACGTCAGGGACTCCTGCGCCACTCCTTGCCCAGATTTTTGGTTGGAAGGAGAGGTGGGCAACCCTCGGAGACCCAGCCATGCCTCCGTGGTGATCATAGCCAGCGCTTAGGGTCCCATAGATTGGAGCAGGCTGGCGTGAGCTGACCACAAACTGCAGAAGACACAGAGCAAATCTAGGGCCAGAAACCCAGTGGCTTCCTACATCACCTGGCCTGAGCCTCCTGGAAAACAATTTTTCTCTTCGTCCTGCTGTGTTCCCAGCCACATGGTTTCGTGTCACGGTCCCAGTGGCATGGAGAATGTGGCAGAGTTGTTGCCTCCTGGCGCGAGTTATTCACGGGACCGTCACTGGGAGAACCACCTGGGGGATTGCTGTGTGGACATCCTTAAGGCACCCACACTGAAGTCCCTGTGTCAGGAGGGTTGAGGTCAGGAAGAAAGCCTGGAGAGGCCCTGGGCCACCCACAGCCCTCCATGTGGGAGGGGGAGGAGGGGGAGGGCTGGTCGGGGAGGGCAGGCTGAGGTGCCGCTTTGTAATTCCCAATAACTGTGGTTTGATTCTGCAGGTATGTATCAGAAAATATAAAACTAGGCAATTTGTCGGCTCTTCGAACTTTCAGAGTCCTGAGAGCTCTAAAAACTATTTCAGTTATCCCAGGTAAGATGCCAGTTCGGATCTCAGCTACAAGTGACTCTCTCTCTGTCTCCCCCCACCCCCCACCCCGACCGTGTGTCTCCTCCTGGCGTGTTGTCGCTGTCTCGTGTGTGAATTTCCCTTGTTACAGATACACCACTGAATTTGTGGACCTGGGCAATGTCTCAGCTTTACGCACCTTCCGAGTCCTCCGGGCCCTGAAAACTATATCAGTCATTTCAGGTGAAAATCAGGTTAAACGCCAAGGCCGCAGGGGCACGCTCGGGCCTTTCCAGCCACCTGGGAGCCGAGGCGACCCTTGGGAAGGCCTCTTCGAATGTGCCTGTCACCAGAATACCTTTCCCAGAGCTCAGATGTGGGGGCTGTCAGACAGAAGACACGGCTGCCCTCTCAAAGCCTCAGAATAGGCTTCAGGCTGCCCACCTCAGCAAAGCCCACTCTCACAGGCACCAGGGGGGCACAGAGCACCCCATAGCGGGTCCTGGATTGAACCCAAATTCTTCCCAAGATAGTGATTTCTTTCCCCAACTGAGCTCAGCTATTTGAATAGCTAAAAGCTTGTGTGTGAATGGCTTCAGCCTGGAGCATCATCCTCTGATAAGGAAGCCAAAAGAACTGTGTTTGAGGAAACTGCATACACACCCAGAACGAAAAAGGAAAACTGCGGCTCCGTCTCTCATGGCTGAGTGCCCAGTCCCTGCCTTGTGCCCCCTCTGGTGATGTCTGCACAGCCGGAGCCCCAGCCCCATTTTGTGAAATGGAGCGTACTCTGTGGACAGGTGGCATCGGGCCTTGGTGTCTAACGGTCCTCGCTGCATGGTGCGGTAGAGGTTTAGCAAACCGTGCATGGTAGCCTAAGGAGGAAATCCTCCTTGACAGATGTTGGCAATTGTACCTGGGAAATCTTCTAAGCCCAGACGGCCTCTCTAGAAAGCCGTTCTACCTCATCCATCCAGGAAAACTCTAAAAAGACTTGTGATGATTTCGGAGCCCAAAGGGCAGTGCCCAGAGTCTCCTTCGAGAGCCTTTTCTGAATGCAGCCACACTCAGAACTGGAGAAGGCACTTCTTTTAAAAAGGCAGCTGGAACGGGCTGCATGCCACCCATGTGGGGAGGAGTCAGGGCTGAGGGAAGAATTAGGTGAACCGGGTGGTTGCATCCACTCCTGATTTGGAAAGCTGGTGGTCCTGGGCCCTGCCTGGTGGGGTTACATGATCTTGTAGGAGGAGCCCCCACTTATGCTGTGTTCACACTGAGCCAGAATATTCCTCTGGCATCTGAACCCACCATACGATGTGCACGAGTGGCCTAGACCCCTGCTAAGAGCCAGTAGCAAGTGAGGCAGTCTGTCCCCAGCCACTCCCATGGAGCCACCCGCATTGAGACAGGCATCATTGGCCTTGGCGAACGCATAGATGCTCAGAAGCCTCAGGGTCTGTCCTCTAGGGTCCCAGGGACAACCTCACAGCACACACCCCACAGGAGCAGATAGGCACACTGACCACAGCAGTTAAGAAAAGGCATGTTCCTGTCTGTTTTATAAGAAAGACCGACAAGGGAAAATATTTTTCGTCCTGGGGACCACCAACCTCAACCCAGCCCCACTGGATCTCTTCAAGCTGCGAACCACCCACTGAAGCAGCAGACAGCAGACCCTGAAAGTGGACATTAGAAAAATGCTATGGTCAGCATTTTGGAAGGCTCCCTGGAGGAGGTGTCCCCTGACCTGAGTCTTATTGCCTTGGCCCTCTCTGGACCTCTATCTTCTTTCCCATAAAATGGGAAGGGTTTCCAAGGGCTCTTTGCCCAGCCTGTTAGAACTGCAGTGGCAGAAGGATTTCCCAGTTGACCCCTCAGAACTCATCCCTTCCTGGGTCTTTTCAGAAAGAATCTCGTTATTTCCTCAGGATCGTTCCTGCCAGAAGTGAACTCTGTCATCAATGTGAGAAACGTTTAAAGGAGTGGCTCTGTGCTCACCAACTGATTATCCCCACGGACACTGTCCACACAGACCAGGAAGTGCTTTGCTGGGCCTTGAGCTGGATGCTTTAGGCCAAAGATACTTTAGCCTAACAGTTGAGGCAGAGTCCAGGTTGGGTATGCGGGCTGCTGCCCACTACCCTTCACTTTGTCCCCCCACCCCCACGGTGTGGGTTGGGTCTCCAGGCCTGCTGAGCAGAACCAGAGTGTGCCCACTGTGGGGACCTAGAACCTCCCCTAGAGATGAGGTGTTCTAGACTAGGAGGGGCTTGTGAATGCCACCACCACCGCCACTCTGGGCCCAGGCTCCTGCAAGGTCCACCCACTGCCCAGGCAGTTGCCAACATCTGCCAGGACAATTTCCACAAAGAACGCAGAGTGCCTCTGAGCTGTGGGCGGGCAACAGCGTTAGCAGCTCTGTGGGGACAACTTCCTGGTGTGTTTGCTCGTCGCTGCCTCCCTGTCTCTGGGTCACGGGCACAGCAGCCTCGGGCACAGTAGCTATGGGTGCTCCTAACATTAACCGGCTGGACGATGGATGGATGGAGCTTAATCTGAGATCTGGCCGCTTCGGTGGGAGCGGGGTGGGGGGTTGGGGGGCAGGGCCCTGCTGCTGGCAGAGAAGCCCCCTCGCTCCCCTGCTCTGCTCGAACTTGTCGTAGGATAGTAGCTAGTGTCAGACTGAACACGTCTACACGTGCTTTTCTGTCACTTCGCTGTGTGGTGCTGGCTTCTGCAGGGAGCTGGGCTGTGCCACTAACAGATCATGGCCTCTCAGCTGTGGGGAGTGGGATGGACGGGGATGGGTCCCAGAGGGACAGCCAGAGGAGGAAAATGCAAAACACGTCAACCCCTCTCCTGCCCCTGAACCTTTCTTTCTTTTTTTTTTTTTTTTTTTTTTTGTGTGAGGAAGATCAGCCCTGAGCTAACTTCCATTTTTTTTTTTTTTTTTTTGCTGAGGAAGACTGGCCCTGAGCTAACATCTATGATCTATGGCCAATCCTCCTCATTTTTTTTTTCCCCAAAGCCCCAGTAAATAGCTGTATATTATAGTTGCACATCCTTCTAGTTGCTGTATGTGGGACACGGCCTCAGCGTGGCCAGACAAGCAGTGCGTCAGTGCACACCTGGGATCCGAACCTGGGCCACCAGTAGTGGAGCACGCACACTTAACTGCTAAGCCACCAGGCCGGCCCCAACCCTGAACCTTTCTTAAAAGTGAGGTCCAGGGGCCAGCCCAGTGGCACAAGTGGTTAAGTGCACGCACTCCGCTGCGGCGGCCTGGGGTTTGCCAGTTCGGATCCCAGGTGCACACCGACGCACTGCTTGGCAAGCCATGTTGTGGCGGCGTCCCATATAAAGTAGAGGAAGATGGGCCTGGATGTTAGCCCAGGGCCAGTCTTCCTCAGCAAAAAAAAAAAAAGAGGAGGACTGGCAGATGTTAGCTCAGGGCCGATATTCCTCACAAAAAATTAATTAATTAAAAAAAAAAAAGTGAGGTCCAAGCTAGAACAGGCTCCTTAGGACGTTACCCACCATGGCCTTGCCAGACCTCCCCCCCGCAGCCCCCCAGCCCCCCAGCACATGCACTACATTCCCCTACCGTGAATGGCTTATCTCTCCCCATTTCAGGATCAAGGCTGAGTCCCCTCCATCGCCCTGGAATGGGCCTAACCTCAGTCTCCTCTCCATGGGCTACATTTAAAGGGGCAGGCCAGGCATACCTTGGGACCAGCCAGTGGGGGACGGGTTTTGAGTGTTTGCTTCCTCAAGAAAACAGCAGTTACCACACTCATTTCATATATTTGGCTAGTGGAGAGCAAAGAGCACCGGGCTCTTCTGAAAATACACAGCCAGACTGGTCTCCTGCCCCAGGGGAGTCGGGACAGAATCTCAGCAGCAGAGGAAAGGGGGGCTTTGGTCTGAAAAGCCCAAGAGAGGCCTCCTTCACTCTGCCCCCACCTCATATTGTCCACCTGGCCCAGCACCCCCTCAGACCCAGCCCCCACCCAGTAGAGCAGGGAACATGGTGCCCATGGGTGACCCGTGCTCCTTCTCGCCTTCCCCAGGCCTGAAAACCATCGTGGGGGCCCTGATCCAGTCTGTGAAGAAGCTGGCCGACGTGATGGTCCTCACAGTCTTCTGCCTCAGCGTCTTCGCGCTCATTGGCCTGCAGCTCTTCATGGGCAACCTGAGGCACAAATGTGTGCGCAACTTCACGGAGCTCAATGGCACCAACGGCTCCGTGGAGGCCGACGGCCTGGTCTGGGAATCACTGGACCTCTACCTCAATGACCCAGGTGCGGACTGTTTCTGTGGCCTGAGCAGGACTTTGTGAGGCCACCAGGGCTGGGGGATCTCCCACACAGGTCTCGCTGGAGGACAAGCCTCCCTCTAGGGCCATTCTAGCCCTACCTGATCCCCCGGAGACCCAGCTGTGTGCTCGTGGATTCCAGCCCCTGCCCTTTGGGGCTCCACAAGAGAGGACAGAAGGGGAGCAGACTTAGGACCTGCCCTTGTGAGTTCTCAGGCTAGGTGGGGAGACAGGAAGGATGGAGTTAGATGGAGAGACAGACAGGGGAGCAGCAGCTGTGACGTTTGGAGGTGGGACTGACCCTAGAGGGTCGGGAATGGGGAGGAGACGGGCCTACCTGCAGAGAGTGTAGTGCTAGCTTGGGAAAGGGTGGGCCATGGAGCGGGGGTAGTTTGTGAGGCTCAAAGTGGAGGCCCCACCTGCTTGGTGAGGGTTTTTTCAGTTGACTTCATTGTTCTTTGCCAGGATGTTAGTTCCATACACGTGTACCCCAGAACCCTGCGTGAGGGTCAGAACAAGCTCGGTGATTGTACAAGGTCATGGTTTACACTTCCACGCTCCAGGCTGATGGCCAGCAGCTGTCTTAACTAGTGCCATCGGTCTGGACCAAAGGTAGACACTGGTGCGAGTCCAGGTCCTGGGCCACAGGGATCCCGAGGGCCACTCTGAAGTTAGGGCTGCTTACGTACACCAGCAAGGCACTTTGGAAAAAGAACAGAAATTCGGTGGGTAAATTTGCTTATGGCCGTATAGCAGTGGTTCTAAAACTTCAGTGTGTACCAGAGTCACCTGGAGGGCTCCATAAAACACAGACTGCTGGGCCCCATCCCCGGAGTTTCTGACTCAGTAGATCTGAGGTGGCATTCAGGAAGTTACATTTCTAACCAGTCCCAGTTGATGATTGAGCTGCTGGTCCACACTTTGAGAACTGCTGCCTAAGACCAAAGCATGTTAGGGATGAGTGATGGGGGCTGATGGATGGCAACAGAGAGGAGAGGACAGGACCTGGTGTCCCATGTCTCATCTGTTCCAGCCCCAGCCCTATCTCGGCAGACACAGTATTGCCATGGTGAGTGTGGCAGGCCTCACTTCCACCACCTTATACACAAGGAAATGGGTCCAGAGCTGGGCAGTAACCCACCAGGGCCACGTGGTGACTCAGCAGCCAAGCTAGAACTCTGTCCAGACCCCTGCCTCCTCTCTTGGCCCTGGTTGGCCCCCTGAGTGGTTTGGGGCAAGGTATGGAAGCTCCCTGTAGGGACAGCTGAGGGCCTGCCAAGGGCTTCCTGTGTCTTCCTAGACTATGGAGGACACCGGCTGCTGAACGTCTGAGAAGGAGCAGGAGGAAGGCGAGGGAAGCAGCTAGAGTTGCCTCAGACCTAGCCAGGCAGACAGTAAGGGTCAGGCAGAGGCAGAGAGGAGGGGGGAAGGCCATCAGCAGTGTCCCTACCTCCCCAAAGCCCTGGGTACAAAGTGGGAACCCCAGGAGTCAGCCATATGTGCCCCTCACCGTTGGATGTTTATCTTCCAGAAAATTACTTGCTCAAGAATGGCACCTCCGATGTGTTAATGTGTGGGAACAGCTCCGACGCTGGGTATGTGGTGCCCACCTCCCAGAGCCATGTCACCCAGCCGGGGGAGTCTCCCGCTGCTTTCTCAACTGACTGTGCTTTCAGTTAAGCCCCTTGACGCCAGGGACAGTGAGGCCTTCCCTGCCTCTCTTCCTTGCCAGGCCCCTGGCAAGGAAGGTCCCCACCCAACCCCCACCCTAGGGGAGAGAGCTGTGAAGCGGGTAAGAAGGGGATGGGGGCGCAGATCGGCAGGGAGGGGACCAGAACCCTGAAGATGGGACGGGACTGGAGGGCAGTTCAGGAGGCCCTGCAGGGCTCTGCACAGCCCAACCCTGGCTGCATTCCCCTTCTAGAAGCCCCCCAGGCTGCTCCCTCCTCTCCAGTCTTTACTTCCTCCCTGCTCATTTGTGCATCAGGTCCAGAGTGAATATGGTTCCCCCACCAGCCTAGACTCTTCTCCGGGGCAAGCAGGGCCTGCACTTGCAGTCTGATTGTGGTACCCAGAGAGGCCCAGTAGCCACGTGCAGCTTCCAGGGCCCTGTGCACACCAGGCTCTGGGTCAGTGTGACTGTGCCATAGGTTATTAGGGGGAGGGAACACACAAGCTCACGTGGTGGGGAAGGTATTCTGAGGGGCTGTAGTCCCGCATCTCTGAATATGACGTTCAAGAGCCCTTCCTGTTGCTAAAGAGATTGTCTGCAGGGTCTTATGGCATTAGCAAGGCACAGAGACCCCTTGGCTGCATCCTCCCTCTTGCCGAGTCTCCCTTCCCCCAGCTGTCTCTCACACACACGCATGCACACACATGTGAATCCAGCCCAGTGCTCCCTCCTTGAGTAAAAGGCTATCCCCTCAAACTAAGTGAACTGTGCATCTGCCTCACTGTGTGCACAGTCATGCAAATGGGCACATTCTCCAGATATGGCCAGGCCCCAGCCTGTTCACCCCAGAATCGTCTCTCAACCCCACGGCCCAGCCTTTGCCCTGGGCTCCATCCTGTTCAGCTCAGCCAAGCCTCACTGCACCCCCGCCACCGCCCACCCCCCTACCCCTCATGCCTGCACTGTACTCAACTCTTCATGAGGTAGGCAGGCAGAGGAAGAGATGTGAGCCAGGCCCTTGGTGCTGCCTCTGCGAGGGGAGAGGCAACTCAGACAGCAGCTGGGATGGTGTGTCATATGGGCAGAAGGCAGCTGGATTTAGGCCTAGCAGAATCAGATGGGTAGAGAAGAGGGGAAGATGGTGTCCCAGGTGGGAGGCACAGCGTGAAAAGTCATGGAGGCGGGACCCAGCAGTGTGGCACTAGGTTCCTGATCCTAAGCCTCATGAAGCGTGGAGCATACACTCAGCTGCCCAGGGAGAAGAGACAGGGTCTCGGGCAGAGGACCCCTTACAGCATGGGACAGAGTCTGCGTGTCTGGCTGCAGGACATGTCCCGAGGGCTACCGGTGCCTAAAGGCAGGCGAGAACCCTGACCATGGCTACACCAGCTTCGATTCCTTCGCCTGGGCCTTTCTCGCGCTCTTCCGCCTGATGACGCAGGATTACTGGGAGCGCCTCTACCAGCAGGTAAGTGGGTGCATGAGGCCAGCAGAGGGCCGCCAGGAACGGGCTCAGGGCCCCTCACAGGGGCCCAGGCTGCACAAGTGACTAGCTAGAAGTGGCCCCAGCAGCTTCTCCGCGGTGAGAGCTGAGGAAGGATAAGGGGCAGGGATCCTTGCATCTGAGGGATGGGGGCTCAGCAAGCAAAGAAACTGTCTCTTTGCTGGTGACCAAGTACCCATCTATATAGGACATGCTAAGCTCTGTGAGTGAGACACTTCTCCACCCTCTGTGATGGAATAGTCCACTCTGGGTGCAACATTTCCCAAGCTGGTTGGGACATTCTGCCCCCCTCTGTGGGTGGGACACTACCCCGTGTGTGTAGGTCATTCTCCTCTGTAGGTCAGGACACTTTCCTCTATCAGTGGTACCCCCTCCCCAGGCTGTACCAATTTGAACCCCTGGCACAGCCAAACTGGGCAGCTTGAGAATGCCGTGACTGTGACCCAGAAGGGGCCCCAGTGAGAATGACCTCTGCCCTCTCACTCCCCCAGACTCTGAGGTCCGCAGGGAAGATCTACATGATCTTCTTCATGCTTGTCATCTTCCTGGGCTCCTTCTACCTGGTGAACTTGATCCTCGCTGTGGTCGCCATGGCCTACGAGGAGCAAAACCAAGCCACCATCGCTGAGACTGAGGAGAAGGAAAAGCGCTTCCGGGAAGCCATGGAGATGCTCAAGAAAGAGCATGAGGTGGGTGAGCAGTGCAGCCAGGGAGCCTCCAGACCAAGCCTTCACCTCACTTTGGGTGCCTCAAAAATGGTGCCTGCTAGGTAAAGCGGGTGCCTTTGGGCATGGCACCTGCTGGGTAAAGCTGATACCTGGAGGCATGGTGCCTGCTGGGTAAACCTGGTGCCTGGAGATGTGATGCATGCTGGGTAAAGCTGGTGCCTACTGGGGAAACTGGTACCTGTATATGTAGCACCTGCTGGGTAAAAGGCAGTGCCTGCTGGATAAAGCTGGTGTCAGCTGGGTACAGACGTTTCCCCTGAATATGGTGTCTGCTGGGTAAAAATTTGGTACTTGCTAGGTAAAGACAGCAAAGCCTGTTGGTGAGGTGCTTGCTGGGTAGAATTGGTGCCTGCTGGGTAAAGGTGGGCCCTGTGAGTGTGGTGCCTGCTGGGGAAAGCTGTTCCCTATGATCATGGTGTCTTCCAGGTGAAGGTGGTGCCAGCTGGGTAAAGGTGGTGGCTCCTGGGTAAAGGTGGTCCCTGTGAACGTAGTGCGTGCTGGATGAAAGAGACCCATGTGTCCATGGACATAGTTGCCCTAGTCCAGGGATGCCTTCTGGTGGAGTACTGAGGAAGGTCCAAGGTCGGAGGCCTGAGCTAACTCAGAATAAACACTGACGATGCTGCCCTGGCTACCCACAGTTCCACACACAGCAGGTGCTGGAGGCTAACTACGGAGCAAGCCAGTTAGAAGCCGGGCCATGCACCTCCACTTTCTTCTCACTGCCCCATGACACCTCCCCCAGCACCCATTTTGGCCAACTGAACCTTCTAGAAGATCTCCTGCCCTCTGGTTCTGTCACTTCCTCTGATCATCAGCACCCTCCTCCCTCCTGTCCCCCACACTTCCCTCTTCACTTCAGCCCACTTCAGCCACTACTCTCTTCGTCCCTGGATCTTGATCTTTCTCAGAACATCCTAGGTCTGCCTGAGCTCATCTCTCCGTGATGCCTTTGTTTGGGGGTAGGTGTACAAGTCCATGTACTGATGGGGAAAACCAAGACACTGAGAGTTGCCTGGCCTGCCTTAGCCTGAGGCTGCACAAAATCCCCATAACCAAGACATCCCTCCTTCCACCCATTTCCAGGCTCTCACCATCAGGGGTGTGGACACCGTGTCCCGCAGCTCCTTGGAGATGTCCCCTTTGGCCCCAGTAACCACCCATGAGAGAAGGAGCAAGAGGAGAAAACGAATGTCTTCAGGGACGGAGGAGTGTGGGGATGACAGGTTCCCCAAGTCCGACTCGGAGGATGGTCCCAGAGCAATGGTAATCCCCAGCCGTGGCTCTGGCCCTTTAAGGGTGGATCTGGCCTCAAATAGCCATCAGGCTAGGCCCCTGGTGAAGTCACAATCCCCACGGTTGCTCCCCAAGGAAAGCATCCTTGAGCCCCCTCCGTGCCCTTCTTGTTTCCCATGGCCATTCTTGGAATGGAGGAGCCCTGGGCAGAGGGATGGGGTAGGTTTGAGTGTTATAATATCCCCAACCTCAGCTAAGTCCCCAGCACTGGGAACTTAACACGTAGTGTGGATTGGCAGGAACCCAAGGACACACCCATATGAGTGTGGGGCATGGCTAACTGCCCCAGCTCCTGCTTGGCCCAGGCCTGTCTGCACCACCAGGAACCTTCCTGCCTCCTTGTCCCCCTGCCCAGCCTTAGCCCCACCTTCAGGCCCAGGTAAGCTTCAGTCTCAAAGGCACAGGCTTCAGGTGAGCAGAGATCCCAGAAGATGCAGGGCTGCCTCTAAGCCTGCACCCCTTCCCTGAACACCCCCTGGTCTCCCACTCAGTTCCCATGTGGCCCGCAAAAGCCCTCAATTCTCCCAGAAGTTGAGCTGGGGCTGATGCCACTAGAGATAGGCTGGGGGCACATGAAGAGCTGTCTTGGTCATGTCCCGTCTCTGCACACCCTCAGAATCGGCTCAGCATCACTCATGGCCTCAGCAGGACCTCCATAAAGCAACGCTCCAGCCGCGGGAGCATTTTCACCTTTCGCCGACGGGACCTGGGTTCCGAAACCGATTTTGCGGATGACGAAAACAGCACAGCAGGGGACAGCGAGAGCCACCGCACGTCTCTGCTGGTGCCCTGGCCCCTGCGCCGGCCTAGTGCCCAGGGACAGCCCAGTCCCGCAACCTCAGGTCCTGGCCACGCCCTCAATGGCAAAAGGAACAGCACCGTGGACTGCAACGGGGTGGTCTCCTTGCTGGGGGCAGGCGACGCTGAGGCTACTTCCCCAGGGAGCCGCCTCCTCCGCCCCATGATGCTGGAGCGCCCCCCAGACACGGTGAGCCAGCCCCGCCATGCAGTGCCAGGCAGAATTGGTCTCCCAAACTGGTCACCAGTGCCGGGTCCAAAAATACTGCCAAGTATTTACTGAGAGCACCTATTGTGTGCTGGGCTCGGGAGTGAACAAACCCACCAAGAAATCTCTCCCTTCATAGAGCTTCTGTGCTACTTGGGGCAGACATACAAAATCAAAGAAAGAAGAAAAAAATATTTATATGTAGGGCCAGCCCCGTGGCCTAGTGGTTAAGTGCGCGCGCTCCGCTGCTGGCGGCCCGGGTTTGGATCCCGGGCGCACGCTGACACACCGCTTGTCAGGCCATGCTGTGGCGGCGTCCCATATAAAGTGGAGGAAGATGGGCACAGATGTTAGCCCAGCGCCGGTCTTCCTCAGCAAAAAGAAGAGAATTGGCGTGGATGTTAGCTCAGGGCTGATCTTCCTCACACACACAAAAATATATTTATATGTATATATGTAATGTATATATGTAATAGTGAGGAACAGGGATGATAGCTAAATACTTAGCAGCTGGTAAGGCTCGGGCACAGAGATGCCATGGTGGCACAGGACCAGTGTCCTAGAGACCCTGTGTGTGCCAGGTGTTGGCCCTGTAGAGTCGCTGGATTGGACAATCCAGGGGGTCCCAGGAGAAGGGCCGGAGTGGCAAGGGGACACTTATGGGGTTCTGGGCAACAATTATCCATCAAGTTTGAAATATCTTGGTACTTTATAAACTGATAACTCAGTATGAGCCCAGGTAATAGGTGCCGTGGGAGGACAGAGCAGGGAGGGGGAGAGGGAACCCACACTCATTAGGAGGCATTTAAACAAAGACCTGGAGGAGGCGAGGGTGGGAGCCTTGCTGCTGTCTGAAACTGGGAGGGGTAGTGTGGAAGACAGCTTAGCACCCAGATTCTGGAGACAAACTAGGTTTGAATCCTGACTCATAACTTACCAGCTAGATGGCTGTAGGCAAGTTACTTTGTTTTTCTGTGCCTCCGTCTCTCATCTGTAAAATGGATTGAAAATACCCATCTCAGGATTGTTGTGAGGATTAATGGGCTGATGTGGCTAAAGCAATCAGGAATTGCATGAGTATGTTGTTGTTGTGATGACATCATAACAACATACCGTCATGATGTCATCTGGGGGGAGGCATGTTCCAGGCCTAGAGAAGAGCAAGTGCAAAGGCCCTGAGGCAGAAGCGTGCCTAGCCTATGGGAGGAAATGCTATGAGGTCAGTGTGGCTGGAAACCAGGGAGCAAAGGGAAGAGGAGTGGCAGTTATTGCCAGAAAGGTGGCGGGGAGGGGCCAGATCGTGAAAGGCCAGTCATGGTTTTGTTCACTCGGTCAGCTGATCCCATGATGACAGACTGTTGAATGCCCAATCAGCCAGTAAGTGTCCTTGCTGACCCCCCAACACAGTGCCCAGGGCAGCCCACCTAGGTAAAGGGCAACATGCGGCTCAGACCCCAAGGCCTGTGGGGAGAGAGGCGGGCAGACGTCCTGAGGGAGCGAGGACGGGACGAGGAGACTTGCTCAGGAAGGTGGAGGTGGGGCTGAAGAGTGACGGCTCACAGCCAAATGGCCTGTTTTGCTCAGGCTCAGACACTTGCTCTAGCTGTGGGACTGCGCAGGTTAATTAATCTCTCTCTGCCTCAACTTCCTCATCTATTAGGTGGAAATAAAATTAACATCCACGTCAGCAGGTTGTGGTCAGGACTAAAAGAGTTCAAACCTGTCTGGTGCTTAGACCAGTACTTGCCTCGTGTTCAAGTAATTATTATTACTCTCTATTATTGTTGTTATTGAGCAGGAAGGAGTAAAGACTCTGGGGGCCCTCAGGCTCCTCTGGAGCAGGGAGTCGAGGAGAGGGTCCTGGGAACCCATTGGGGGCAGACCACAGCTTCTGGGTGGGTCTGGGGAGGGCCCCAGGGCATCACTTGGAGGGTGGGTGTCTGGCTTCCCAGGAATACCGAATCCCTGCGGCTGCAGACCCTCCTGCAGATCCAGCCCTGGAGCCTCCGGCTTGTGGAATCAGGTCAACAGCTAATAGAATTTCCTAATCTCGTTAGGGAGAAAATCATCTCATTGTGCTGCACATGTCAGGAGGAATCCAAGTTCAAACACTTCATTACCGGGAACTCTGACTTCACTCATTCTCACTTCTGCGGGGCCCATTTGTAACCTTAAAGGGATTAGCAGGCCAAGGGGGCCATTTGCAAAGTTAAAGGAATTAGCAACCAAGATGGTGACGTTTGAAAAGTTGAAGAGATTAGCAGGCTGCAGGCCCCCGGGAATGCCTTTTCTGCCTCCACGCGTCTCCAGTGAGACATTTCTGCCCAGTTCTCGTCTGAAAACAAAGCTCAGTGTCGGCACGTAGTGGGGGCTTAATCAGCGTGGTGAGAGGAGGAAGGGCCAGCCCAACAGACAGCTCACATTTCACTTATCGAGATTGAGGGGTGGAGGGTGAAGATTTATTTTGTCTGCTGTCCGTATGAGCGTGCCTGTCCCAGAAGGCCAGATGGGGGCGGGGAGGCGCGCTGAACATCCATTCTTCTCCCTCCACGTGTTAGACTTCCATCCTCCTTTGTCTGGTCCTCCAGCAAGTTAGGGGCAGAGCTGGAACTCTAACCCAAGCCTCCTGATTCCCAAGTATTTATCCATCCAACCAGTATTTATCCAGCACCGGCTGCTGCGTTGAGTGCCAGGCAGGGTTTGAGGCTCCAGGGTTATAGCAATGAACAGAATGGGTAAGAGCTCTGCCTGCGTGGAGTTTACATCGCAGTCAGGAAGATGGATCGTAAACAGATCAATATTCCGGGTAGCAATAGGGTCGTGATAGAAAATCGCTAGGGGTGGAGTTGGGGATGGGGACTCTTAGAATCCTGGGGGAAGTCCTTCCTGTGGAGGTGACATTAAAATTGACAGGCAAATGATTTTAGGGAGCCAGGTATGAAGATGTGGAAGAATAGTGTTTTAGGCAGAGGGAACAGCAAGTGCAAAGGCCCCGAAGAGGAATAGGCTCGACATGTTCAGGGGATGAGAGAGCCAGGCAGGCCTGGTGTGGTGGAAACAGCAGAAAAGGATATAAAATTAGTTTGATGAGTTAGGATTTGGACTATGCAGGGCCTTCCAAGTGGTAGAAAGGTTTGGACTTTGAGTAAGATGGGAAGCTGTGGGGTAAGGGGGAGTTGATTAGAGAAGTATCACAATCTGATTTACTTTTTAAGGGATTCCTTTCTGCTGTGTAGAAAATAGAGGGAAGAGAAGAAGAGGCCGGTGAGGAGGCTGTTGCAGTAGTTTTGGAAAAGAGATAACAGTAGCTTGCACTAGGATGGTGTAGCAGTCAGCTATTGCCACAATGATGTTGTGTAACAAACTACCCCAGAAGCCAATGGCTAACAAGAAGCCTTTATTCTCATGTTCACTTACCTGCAGCTTGACCATAGTTTGGCTGGTCTAGGTTGGGCTTGGCTGGGCAGGTCTGCTTCAGACGGCACATTGGCTTGGCTCCACACTGTGGGTTAGGCTCAGGGCTGCCCCACTTGTCTTTGTTCTGAAGCCCAGGCTGAAAGGATGGTAGCTACCTGGGGAAGCTCTTTTCGTGGTGGATCACTGGAGCACAAGAGCAAGACAAACAGCACGAGCATATTTAAGGCTTCTGTTCACATCATGTCCACTAACATTCCATTGGCCAAAGCAAGTGTGTCGTCAATAGCACGGGGAAGTTGACTTCACTCACGGTGGGTGGAGAAAGAGTAAATATTTGCTAAATGATAACTGGAACTATCACACATGGTAAGGGAGAGAAGTTGGGAGAATTTAAGACATGCTTGTGAGTGAAGCTGGCCAGATTTGTGGTTGCATTGGATCTAGTGTACTACTGTTACACCAGCTACCTCAGACACCTCTGCTTGAATACTTCCATGACTAGGAGCTCACTACATCCCTAGGCAGCATTTTGGGAGCATTCTCACCAATTGCAAATGTTGAGCTTCACTTGAGCCCAGATTGATTTGGTACCCACCCCAGGCCGTGGCTCTACCACCCTTAGTAGCCTAGGCCCATCTTCCCTCTGATCTACAGAGATTATAGAGCCTTGCTCTTGCACGCTGAGCATGCATGCTGCCTTCAGCAGCCCAGCTCAGGCTCATGGACTGTGGTTCTTCAGGGCTGTGCTGACGGGAAGCCTTTGTGGGCCCTCCTTGGTTCCGTGGTGGCTCTGAGTAAGCCCAGAGAATGCCTGCTGCCACCTCCCTCCATCAGGACACGCCACATCTTCATTTGTAGGCCTGGTTCTCTTGCTTACAAAAATGATGCAAGCACATTGAAAACAAATCCAATGAGGCAAAAGTACATAAAGTGAAAGGGAACTTCTCCCGCTCCTTCCCCTGCCCCACAACCCCATTCCCCAGATATAGCCACGTGCACAGTTCGGTGTGGGTCTTCCAGGTCTTTTTCTTATTTTTTCATCAAACTCTTTGTCTTGGAAGTGCGCTCCTAAGAACACACACGGAACCGCCTCATTCTCTTTATTGTTTGTATCAGAGTCTAGAGTTGGATTGTATCCATAATTGATTTTAATATTCTTCCTATTGATTAGTTGTTTTGTTTTTATGGCATCAGGAACACTACTGCAATGAACATCATTGCATGTATATTTTTGGTGCACATGTATAATTATTTATGAAGTTAGATTACTAGATGAGAACTTGCAGGGCCAATTTAAAATTTTCTTGGTAGATATAGCCAAACTGCCTCCACAAAAGCTCGCACCAGCTATGTCTAAGCATTGTGCTTTATGCTTCTTTTAATGTCACCTTAGAGCATGGTAGATGTTTTTTAGCTTCTTTATGCTCTTGACTCTAGGGAGCTTGTGGTCAATTTAGACTCCCAGATCGTTTTTCCATGTACTAATGTATATGAAAGCATCTGGTTAATAGAACTTGGTACATGTAGTTACCTGTCCACTCTCAAGAATCACCACTGCTGAGAGATGGTGAAGAAGAAAAGAGAATGAAGAAGATAATTACTGGCAGGGGTTGGGGGGAGGAGTTGTTAACTGGGAGGGAGTTGGAAGCAGAGAAGCCCAGCACCCAGTGTCCCATCAAGACCCCCATCTTGTCCCCCTGTAGCCGTCCCAAACCGAGTCTGGGCCAGCTATCCCAGGTCCAGTAGGACCCCCTTCCCCAGGCTAACACATATCTCCTGGTTGCACCCAGACCACACCATCGGAGGAGCCAGGCAGGCCCCAGATGCTGAGCCCCCAGGCTCCCTATGCAGATGGCTTCGAGGAGCCAGGAGAGCGGCAGCGGGCCCTCAGCGCTGTCAGTGTCCTCACCAGCGTACTGGAAGGTCAGCACCCCCCGGTGTCATCCAAGCACTCCCCGCTTCTGGTCTAAGCACCCTCACCATTATCCCGCCCGGAGCCAGGCATCCCCCCATCTACTTGGCCTGCCCTGGACATCCCCACAGCTGTCCCACACTTTTTAGTCTGTGTCGCCTGTCCTAGCTATCTTTTCATTTGTTTCAGCTTGTTCTTTCCTGGGTGTTCTCAGGGGCCATGTCTGTGTTTCTTCCAAACATTCCTACAGTTGTCCTGGCCTGTCCCAGGTGCTTACCAGTCTCATCCTGTCCTCTCCTAAGCATTGTCATATCTGCCTGGGACCATCCTGTCCCAAGCATGCCTGTTCTAGCCTATTCCCAGCCATTCCCATATCTACCACAAGCTATTCCAGGCCTCCCACAGCTGTCCCAGCCAGTCCCACCCTAGGCAACCCCGCATCCATTCCAGTCTGAACTTGTTCCCTCCTGTCCCATATGGATTCACATCTTTTCCAGCCTGTCCCAGGCACCCTCCGCCTGTCCTAACATGTCCCAGATGTCCACATCTATTCCCACCTGTTCTGTCCTCTGTTTCCTTATATCTGAACTTAAACCTGTCTCAGATATTGTCTCATCCTTTTCAGTCTGCCCTCCCCTGAGTGTCACCACATCTGTGTGGGACTGTTGTCTCAAGACAGCCCACATCTGTTCTAGTCTGTCTGGTCCCAGTTTTCCCCACATCCATCCTAGCCTCCTGTCCCTGTGGCCCTCTTCCCTCAAATCTCCAGGGTAAAGAGTCAGGACACAAGCCACCCCTTCCCTTAGCCTTCTCTGCCCCTCTCGCTGTCCCCCTGCCATGTAGCAGCCCTATCATCTCCCCAGGTAAGTCATATATCTTCTCTGGAATATTGTGAGTTATATATGAGTTAGTCAACAAAAATAAACCAGCTCACTGGCTGTCCCCCCAGAGCTGGAGGAGTCTCACCGCAAATGTCCACCATGCTGGAAACGCTTTGCCCAGCGCTACCTGATCTGGGAGTGCTGCCCACTGTGGATGTCCATCAAGCAGAAAGTGAAGTTCATGGTCATGGACCCATTTGCCGATCTCGCCATCACCATGTGCATCGTGATTAACACACTCTTCATGGCGCTGGAGCACTACAACATGACAACCGAATTTGAGGAGATGCTGCAGGTTGGAAACCTGGTAAGGGCCGCTGGCAGCTGACTCTCAAATGGGCATCCTGGTGTGAAGGGCTCTCCGCCAGCTATCAGAGCCTTCGTGGGTAAGGGAAGAGGGATTCAGAGCACAAAAGGATCTTCTGAAGGTGAGAGTCATCATGGAAGACATCTTGGAGGAGAGTCTCGGGATCAGCTTTTAAGGAGCTGAGAGATGTAGTTGGGAGTGAGAGGTTGGAGATTAAGGTTAATGAAGATGCCCAGAGGTTAGAAAACAAAAGAGAGTTGGGGGTGAGCCTGAAATGTGTGGAGACGTGAGATTTGGCAATTAGTGGATGAAGGAGGGGAGTGTATGCAGAAAGAGGCAGTTCTCGTACAGACAGAGCTTGCATAGGTGAGCATCAGTGTTTGTTGGATGGGGGAAAGTATGGATGGATTGATGGATGGATAGCTGGGTGTAGTGAGTAAATCAGGCAGAGCCAGATCTGAATTCTGACTCAGCTCTTGCTAACTACATGACCTCAAGCAAATTACTTAGTCTCAGTAATTGGCGTAATAAGTATTTGTTGAATTTAATAAATATAAAATTAGTATGACAATATCAACTTCATAGGAAGCTAATGAAGATTGAATGAGATAATATGTGTAATGTGCTTGGCTCAGAGTTTGCTAAACAATAAGCACTCAAAATAAATGATAGGTGTGGTTTTTATCGTTGTTTTTGTTATTAAAGAGACTGTCCGTGGGAGTCAGAACGTCTAGGTTCTAATTCTGATTTTTTTTTTTTTGAGACCAAATTCAAGTCCTACCTCTTCACTCTAAATATGGGAACCTGAGGCCCAAGAGGTGACATAATGGTAGCATAGCTGGGAATGTAGTTACTGTCTCCTGACTCTGAGAGACAGGCCCTACTGGCTCTGTCCAGGTAAACACAGAGTCAGCCCTTCTCCAGGGGATTCTAGGACAAGGCTGGCAAAGAGCCCACTGGCCTCTGAAAGGAGATCCTGGGATCATCACTGAGGTTGGTTGGGGGAGGGGGTCATTTGGCCCAAGCTCTCTCTTACTGTAGACCCAGCCCTGTCTCAGTCTCAGCTGCACAGGTGGCCCCCAGAGGCAGGCAGGTCTCCCACACTGTAGTCTGAGGATTTTTTCTCATTACTTTCCATATCCAGGACTCTAGATGGTTCACTACAGGATCTATTCAAATTTTTTCACAAATGTGAGTCCATTTTGTTGTAACTCTACTTTTCTTTCCTTCTTCTATATGTGAACAGAAGGGAAGGCTGTATCGCAGTCTGTAGGAGTCTTGTGTCTGCCTTGTGTTGGGTGGTCTTCAGATGATGGTTATTAGGGTCTCGGCTGAATGCAGTTTTATTGAAGTGTGACCATTGGGTTGGACTCAGCAGCAAGTCAAGGTGATGAAGAGCCCTGGTGGCTTCACTGAGTCATTAAGTTGTGATTGAATTGCAGTTGTGTTAAACTTGTGGTTCAGTTATTAGTAATAGGTCATGTAGTTGGATTATAGCTATATTCTGTTCTGTTTGGATAGCTTTATTGCTAGTATGTTAGGTTTTCATTGTCTTGCAGTTAATATATTCTAGATGGTTTAAATATTAAATGTAAAGAAACAAAACCAAAAAAATAAACATGGGTAAATAATCTTGGTATGGGAAAAGCCTTTCTAAGCATGTAAAGGCAAATTCCATAAAGGAGAAGATTGATAGAGATAACTAACTTTTAGCCCATCATATAAACAAAGGTAAATGAAACTTCTGTTCCTAGCAATACTGTGGACAAGAAAACCAGAAAAGTCTTCAACTGTGAAACAATTAAAAATATAGCAAACATTCTTTGACATGCATATCAAGGTTCATGAGAAAGTAACAAAAATCTCAAGTGCTGAGAACAAAGAGTGACTTAAAAACCATAGCGATAGGGCCGGCCCCGTGGCTTAGCGGTTAAGTGCACGCACTCCGCTGCTGGCAGCCCGGGTTCGGATCCCGGGCGCACACCGCTTCTCTGGCTATGCTGGGGCTGCGTCCCACATACAGCAACT